CGTCTTAACATTTGCCGGAGCTTCACGGATTGAGGCGGTTCGTTTTCAAAAGGTGGCTCTCGCCTTGGCGCAGCGCACATTCATTGTAGATTGTAAGAGCTTCACGGAATGAAGGCGGTTCGTTTGCAAAATGTGGCTCTCGCCCTCGCACTGCGCACATTCTTTCCAAAAAACTGCAGAAGCTTCACGGATTGAGGGCGGGTGGTTATCAACATGTGGCTCTCGACTTAACGCCGCGCACATTGATTCAACTTCACGTTAAGGCGGTTCGTTTCCAAAATGTGGTTATCGCCTTAGCGCCGCGCACATGCTTTTTAAACATGTGCCAAGGTGTTCTGGCGATTCAGGACAGCCAAGAATGGCGTTCTGGCACGATTCAGGATCGCCAATACGTTACAGTCAGGTTAACTCGTGGCGTTGAATTCCTGAGAATAGTGCTCTGGCACGCTTCAAGATGTTCACACGGTCGCCACCCAAAGGGACGAGTCCGTCAGAAGAAATAACCCCTTGTAGGGACCTGTGTAGAGGGATCTTGGAGGGAGGGTGTAGTTCAACATCGTTGATGACTCATGGGCTTGAACTGGTCCTCCTCCTCATCATCCTCATCCTCGCGCCTCCTCCTCCACCTCCTCCTCATCATCCTCGTCCTCCAACTGCTCCTCCTCGTCCTCCTCCTCATCATCAGCAGCAGCAGCATCAGCATCATCATCATCAGCATCATCAACATCATCGTCATCGTCATGATCATCATCGTCGGCAGCATCATCACCATCATCATCATCATCATCATCATCATCATCAGCATCATCATCATCATCATCATCATCATCATCATCATCATCATCATCATCATCATCATAATCGTGGTCGGCATCATCATCACCATCATCATCACCATCATCAAAAACCTCCTCTCCCCTCCTCCTCCTCCTCCTCCTTCTCCTCCTCCTCATCCTCCTCATCCTCCTCCTCCTGCTCCTCCTCCTCCTCCTCCTTCTCCGCCCAATCTTCACCCTTCGAACACACCCAAACGGTAAATTACTGGAGGACAGCTCATTTGCGGGACCAGGGGCCGAAATAACAATTGCACTGGACGCGTGATTGGGATTAGGTGGACGGGCACAAACTTCGCGACATACGATCGGGGGCGCCAGTCGTGGCAGAGCCCCAGGGTGCCAGATCGTGGCGGCGATCCACATGCAGAACGGCAGGAAGTATCGGGAGCCGCACTGAAGCTACGAGGACGTGGCTCCCGTGCACAGGGAGGGCTCTACTGGGCCGCAGGCTTTGGGAGATCGACGAGAAGTGGCCCAAGGGGCTGGACGTCGGCGGTGGGGAGGATGGGCAACCGATGTCTCGCGAGCACGGGCCACGTAAAGACTGGCACTTGGCGGCCAAAGGCGCGGTGCACGTCGGGCGCACGCGTCGCCGATCTCTCCGTGCATCCCCCGCCGGCTGAGTGTAAATCAAGGGGCCCAAGGACACACAAATGAATACATACAAATAAAATGATTCCCCATGTTTTCCCATATTTTCTGGGTTTTTGTCTTCCCGCCCAATTCCCATATTTTCCCATATTTTCTTGGGGATCGACGATTAATTGTGTCTGTGTGGTTTTCCCCCTCCTGAGTAAACCTCTGCACGTGCTCGGCTCGGCCCCGCGCGGATGCCCCAGGCGAAGCCCAGCACGCACCGAAGCGGACTCCGCGGCTGGCGCAGTGCCCGCCCATGCGTGCGGGCCGCCTCGGGGGGGGGGGGGGGCGAGCACGTGCAGACCCGCACTTCGCGGCAGGGGCGGGGCACAGGCCGGGCGCGTCGTCGCAGGCCCTCCCAGCCGAGGCGCGGGAGACGGGGGCCGCCCCAAAACTCTTGAAAAAGAGAGCGAGCTGGGGGAGCCCGTGGAAGTCCTGAGCGAGGGGCCCCGACTCCGCATACCCACCCACCCCAAGCGCGCCTGGCTCCACGGGACCCCGAGCGCTCCGCTGCACCCCACGTGGCCCCCTAGGCAAGGCTCGCACCGCACTGCTCCGACCTTCCGTTCGCGAGGCGGATGCAAGACCGCCTCTGGCTAAACAAATCGATGCTCCAGCAAATCCGACAGGCGCGATCGCCAGCCTCGAATCGCAGCTGCGAGAACACAATATATGGCACGAAGTCTTGGAATCCGCGCAAAAATCTAATCCACCTGCCCACAACGTAATTCTATACATGTCCGAACCCTCCTTCCCCGTCCTTCTCCGTCTCCCCCTCTCCCTCCTCATCGTCTTCCTCTGCCTCCTCGAACTTCCCATTCTACTACGTTTCCTCATCCTACTATTTCACATGTGTTCCTGCTCCTCCTCCTCCTCCTCCTCCTCCTCCTCCTCCTCCTCCTCCGCCTCCTCCTCCTCCGCCTCCGCCTCCGCCTCCGCCTCCGCCTCCTCCTCCGCCTCCTCCTCCTCCTCCGCCTCCTCCGCCTCCTCCTCCTCACTCCTCCCCACCTCCCTCCGCCTCCGCCTCCGCCTCCGCCTCCCGCCACCGCCCTCCGCCTCCGCCTCCGCCTCCTCCTCCTCCTCCTCCTCCCTCCTCCTCCTCCCTCCTCCTCCCCTGCTCCTCCTCCTCCTCCGCCTCCTCACCTCCTCCTCCTCCCCTCCTCCTCCTCCTCCTCCGCAACCGCCTCCGCCTCCGCCTCCGCCTCCGCCTCCTCCCTCCTCCCCTCCTCCTCCTCCTCCTCCTCCTCCTCCTCCTACCTCACCCGCCTCCTCCTCCGCCTCCGCCTCCGCCTCCTCCTCCTACTCCTCCTCCTCCTCCTCCTCCTCCTCTTCTTCTTCTTCTTCTTCTTATTCGTCTTCTTCTTCTTCTTCTTCTTATTCTTCTTCTTCTTCTTCTTATTATTATTATTCTTCTTCTTCTTATTATTATTATTCGTCTTCTTCTTCTTATTCTTCTTCTTATTATTCTTCGTATTCTTATTCTTCGTATTCTTCTTATTATTCTTCTTCTTCTTAGTCTTCTTCTTATTCTTATTATTCTTATTCTTATTATTATTATTCTTCTTCTTCTTATTATTATTCTTATTATTATTCTTATTCTTATTCTTCTTATTATTCTTCTTCTTATTCTTCTTAGTCTTCTTCTTCTTCTTCGTATTCTTCTTATTCGTCTTCTTATTCTTCTTCTTCTTCGTCTTCGTCTTCTTATTCTTCTTCTTATTCTTCTTCTTATTATTCTTCTTCTTATTATTATTCTTCTTATTATTATTATTATTCTTATTTTTCTTCTTCTTCGTCTTCTTCTTCTTCTTCTTATTCTTATTATTCTTCTTCTTCGTCTTCTTTTTCTTCTTATTCTTCTTCTTCTTCTTCCTCTTCTTCCTCCTCCTCCTCCTCCTCCTCCTCCTCCACCTCCTCCTCCTCATCCTCCTCCTCCTCCTCCTCCTCTCCTCTCCACCTCCTCTCTCCTCCTCCTCCACTCCTCCTCCTCACCCTCACCCCTCCCACCTCACCCCTCCCCCTCCACCGCCTCCTCCTCTCCTCCTCCTCCTCCTCCTCCTCCTCCCTCCTCCTCCTCAGCACAGCAGCATCATCATCAGCAATCTCATCATCATCATCATCATCACCCAGCAGCTGCATCATCATCATCATCAGCATCAGCATTCATCATCATCATCCTCATCAGCAGCAGCATCGACATCATCATCACCACCATCACCATCATCATCCATCATCATCATCATCATCATCATCATCATCATCATCATCATCATCATCATCATCATCATCATCATCATCCTACTCCTCCTCCTCCTCCTCCACCTCATCATAATCAGCAGCAGCAGCATCAACATCATCATAAGCAGCAGCAGCATAACCATCATCATCATCGTCAACAGCAGCAGCAACAGCATCGGCATCCTTATCGTCAGCAACATCATCATCATCAGCCTCATCACCACCAGCATCATCATCATTAGCAGCAGCATCATCAGCATCATCAGCATCATCAGCATCATCAGCATCATCGTCATCATCAGCATCGGCATCAGCATCATCATCATCATCATCAGCAGCAGCAGCATCAGCAGCATCAACATCGAATCGTCGTCATCTAGGTCATTGTCATCGTCATCATCAGCATCAGCATCGTCAGCATCAGCATCATCAGCAGCACCACTATCATCATCTCATCAGCAGCAGCATCAGCATCAGCATCGACATCAGCATCATCAGCATCATCGCCACAATACTCAGCATCATCAACAACATCATCATCACCATCATCATCATCACCATCATCACCAGCATCAGCATCATCATCAGCGGAAGCAGCATCATCATCATCAGGATCATCGTCCTCAGAAGCATCTTCAGCAGCATCATCATACTCATCACCATCACCATCTCCATCACCATGGTCATCCTCATCCTCATCCGCATCCTCCTATCCATCCTGGTCCTCGTCCTCTTCCTCCTCCCGTTCCTCCTCCTCTTCATCGTCAGCAGCAGCATCATCATCAGCATCATCATCAGCAGCAGCAGTATACTCATCCTCATCACCATCATCATCACCAGCATCATTATCATCATCATCATCATCATCAGCATCATCAGCAGCAGCAGAAGCATCATCATCAGCATCCTCGTCCTCAGAAGCATCATCAGCAGCATCACCATCACCATCACCATCACCATCGACATGATCATCCTCATCCTCATCCTCATCCTCATCCTCCTATTCATCCTCGTCCTCGTCCTCTTCCTCCTCCCGTTCCTCCTTCTCCTCCTCCTCCTTCTCCTCCTCCTCATCCCCCTCCTCCTCGTCCTCATCATCCTCCTCACTCTCTCCCTTCTCCTCCTCCTCCACCTCCTCATCATCCTCATCATGCTTCTCATCATCCTCGTCCTCTCCCTTCTCCTCCTCCTCCACCTTTCGTCATGCTCCTGCTCCCCATCATCCTCCCCCCCCCATTCTCCCCGCCCGCGCCCATCCCCACCCGCGCTTGCTTCCACGATCCGAGGCGCCTCCCGGGGCAGCAGCAGAGCGGCCAACCACATCGTGCACACGAACCAGTGCGCCCCGTAGACCCACAGCCAGGCCACCTGCGCCGCGCGCCCGCCCCCCCCCCTCCTCCTCCTCCTC